TTAGAGTTGAAAATCTACCTAAATTATTTCAGGAAACCTAGCCGGTGCTACAGAGCCTGTGCATTGTGCTGAGCTTCTTCGGACTCGGACTTGAGTTAGAAGAAGAAGAAAGGAGCACTTATGGGTTTCTACCCCTGTGCTATGATGTAGATCCTTTTCTCAAACATCAATTTCTCCTATGTAATACGTTCTGTATCATGAATGGAATTTAGTCAAACACCTTCGGCCTTTCTTGCCAACGTTACCCGTGTATAATTTTGCTTGGACCCCTTGCTTCAGCAATCCATTTTTTTCTCATTCCATTGGCTGTCTTATAATTTTACGTCCGTGCCTTCTCAGAAAATGTACCATATATCATCCTCTTAGTTCTCTATACATATTGCATAAGTAAATTTTATTTTTAATATTATTTTGTTAACAGTTTGTTGCACATTTTATTTGCAGGTTCACTGGGTCAGCTTGGTCCCGGACTGGCCAGGATATTGAGGTATTCTATGCCAATTTATGATTAGTTGAATAATTTTCCCCTTTACTGTTTATTGAAGATCACCTAAACTTGACATGTTTTGGATATATCTGGACATTTCAAATGATGAAGACGTAACTAATGGTAATGGAAAACGTATATTCTAATAAGCACTGCCTTTTCTATCTCTGGTGTGTACCTCTTTGACTTATCCACCAGGTTTTGGGTGAGAGACGATCACTGTCTTGATCTGTAATTCTGGTGATCGTCTGAGATGATGGAACATTACCGTCTTTGTTAATCGGCGCGGCACATGATGATGACAATGATGATACACTGTTTAACCATATCCTGATAATGCCAAATTTGTTTGATTGACTGACTGACCAGACATGCAACCATGAAGTCCCTTTGCATCTGACTGGAGTGAGCTGATCATACAGTCAACAGCAGTGGTACATGAGGACGATGAAGAGGATGAATTTTGCATTAAAACAGCTTTAAATCACACAATTAGATACAAACAACGACACACACAATTCACGGTTACCAGGCATGCTGCCACAGAGAAAAAATTGGGAAGGGATATCTGCGCTTCCATCCCACTTCACTTAGTTTTTAGGTTGGAGAGGGTGGGGTGTTTGAAGCGTTGGTTGTGTAATAAAAGTAGTATATTTTCAAAGATGAAACCTCTAAACAAATGCTCATAAGGTAATATATAACCCCTCCCCCCTCCCCCCCCCCTGAATTTTCCCGATATTTAAAAGGTTTAGGGGACCGGCTGGGTCAAGAACATTTGTAATAGGACTAGGGCGGACCGGAGCTATAATAACTTTTTTTTTAATTATTTACTTACAAGTTTTATATTACTTCAAACTTATTACATTTATTTGCAATTCAGCACATTATAATAATAACAATAATACGCGCTTTAACAAGGCTTAGGAGTCTTGAAATACCACCCCCACCCACCCCTTTCCCCCCTCCCCCCCCCTTCTTATAGAAAACGGAAAACATATCTTAAGGTCCTTCATCCCCCCCCCCCCAACTAATATTTTCTTTAGGTAGGCGCCTCTGAAACATAGCCTTGGATTCTTCGAACGTTGACCTTTATGCAACACATTAAGTGCTTATGAAAAAAATCACTATAAATCCATACATATACAGCTTGTGGCATATTCACAGAAACACCGTATAGTAGCATTACAAAAAGCAGTGATTCCCAAACTGTGCGCCGCGGAGCCTCCGAGAGCCGCGACCTCTTCACAGGGGTGTCGCGAAATATTCGAAGATACATAAGTTCTATTTTTTTTTTTTAACTCTTACATACGAATAGTCATACTTTTACTTAGATTAGGGTGCCGTAAAAAATATTGGAAAAAAAGGCGCTGCGACTAAGAAAAGTTTGGGAAACACTCGCATAAAGTGTTTCCTTTCCGTTCAGTTTCCGAAGACAGTTTGAACAATGCTCCCTGCACAAGTTACCCGCCCGCGTTTGTGTGTGTGTGTGTATGTGTGTGTGTGTGTGTGTGTGTGTGTGTGTGTGTGAGTGAGGTGTTTATGTGGTGTGTGTGTGTGTGTGTGTGTTTGTTCGTTCGTTCGTTCGTTTGTATGTGTCTGGAGTTATTCAAACATGACAGTCTAACACAGAGTGCGGGGGGGGGGGGGGGGGGTCGATTGCAAATGCGTGATTCTACGACGCGCGATCAAACGCAGGGCAGACAAAATGCCACCATTCGGATGAGAATCACCTGGGCGCAAGTATCAGAAATCCCGTTCAACCGTTTGGTTATATTTAAGGTTCCTGACAAAAGTCGGGTTGGGGCTTTAGAAACTACGCCCACATTCGGACGGATATGATTAAATCTACACGTTCCATTTTTTTTCAAATATATATTTATTCATTTATGTTTCGTTTGCCTTCAGCACATACTTTTGATAAATATTATTATTGCGCGGTAAACAATCCTTAGGCCCCCTAAGGCCCCTGCCGCAGGTCCATTTATAAGAGAACTTAAACCCCAACCTCCAACCCCTCATGTTTTCTATGTGTCGGTGGCATCCCTGTGATAAATAAGGTCATGGGATGTTTGGTTTCCAAAACTTTCAACTGGAAACAGCCGGTTGATGACTAACAGATCGTTATCAGGGGCAGCAACACTGTATGTACCACGTATTGGGGTTATTGCACTTTTGCTATAGGATTTACCTACTCACTGTTGGCCAGCCTGAAACAGATGGTTGCTGTTTGTAATTTTAACACACCTTGTTAGTGAGTGTGTTTCTCCATTTGTGCTGACTCTGATTATTTGGTAAAGGTAAATCCTCCAATCACACCTGTCCTACTGGTCCTAAGTTTTTTTTTTTACATCATTAGCAATAAATTCACAGGTATTGATTGGCTCTCATAGAAGAAAAGGGACAAGATTAGCGATTACAAGACACTAATTAACTGTACACTGAGCCCCACTCTGGCTTTTGCCAGAGGTCAATTAAATTTTACAATTACTTTGTGTCTCGGGTGTTTATGGGTAGTCAAGTTAACTGTACAACGATGGCGTTTCTAAGATACGAACCCGCTGCCTCTAAATGAAAACACTGCGACACTGAATGAACATCTGTTATGTTATGACAATCAAATTCACTGCATATTTGGGCATTTCCACGTGTGCTCAGTACTCTAAGGCAGCAGTCTCTCTAAGCCCCTGAGGTACTTCAAGTGATTGTTCCATCGAGAAGTTTCCAGGACAACACATATACTTTGACCTGTGTTTTTCCTCTTGTGAGGGCCGGGGCCTCATTGCGGGGAGGGGGGGGGAGGTAGGGGAAGGTGAAGGAGGGGGGGGGGAGAATAGGCCCACTGCCACCTTAATAAGCGTGTCGAAAAGTAGACTAATTAGGGGTATTTCTACTGAAGTCTGAGTACATCTTCCTGAGAGGCGAGGGAACAGAAGTCTGCATACAAATGAGCCAGATCTGTAAAAGAGATGAGAATGAACATCCACAACTTTCTACCAGTGTTTACAACCGGTGAACGTGAAGAAGAAGAAGAAGAAGAGGAGGAGGTAGTAGTAGTAGTAGTAGTAGTAGTAGTAGTAGTAGTAGTAGTAGTAGTAGTAGTAGTAGTAGTAGTAGTAGTAGTAGTAGTAGTAGTAGTAGTAGTAGTAGTAGTGGTAGTAGCAGCAGCAGTAGTTGTAGTGGTGGTGGTAGTAGCAGCAGCAGCAGCCGCGGTGGTGGAAATAGCGCTGATAGTAATAGGGAACGAGGTGCCGAATATCTTGCAGACACTGTGGTTTCTATGGCTGGCCCGGTACTGGACAGAAGCGATGTTGTCAATGCCATGCGCAACACTTACCGTGACGACATAGCGCGCCAAAGGTCATGACTCTGCATCCCTGACTAGGCTGACGGACATGGGGGTGCAGCCTGGAGCTGCAAGAAATGAAAATTTCACTAAGAGGACAAGATGCTTCATGAATCAACACAGCATAGGCATCATTGGTTATTTTACACTTTTGAGGAGAAAATCGGAGCAAGCATCATCGGATCTGTCGTGTGTGCTGTGATGATAATCCTTGCTAACCACTAATCTCTTTATTTCTCTCTCTCTCTCTCTCTCTCTCTCTCTCTCTCTCTCTCTCTCTCTCTCTCTCTCTCTCTCTCTCTCTCTCTCATTCATTCATCCTTGTTTCTTTTTCTTCATGAATTCATATTCAGATGTAAACTAGAGTTTCCTAATGTTGACAGGGAGAGATATGGACGAGACAATGTCATCATGTCTGATATCAATCGAGCCTCGGAGTCTGTCCTAGAATCAGGTAGGACATGCACCAGTATGTTCAGTATGTCCTAGAATCAGTTTAGGACATGCACCAGTATGTTCAGTATGTCCTAGAATCAGGTAGGACATGCACCAGTATGTTCAGTATGTCCTAGAATCAGGTTAGGACATGCACCAGTATGTTCAGTCTGTCCTAGAATCAGGTAGGACATGCACCAGTATGTTCAGTATGTCCTAGAATCAGGTTAGGACATGCACCAGTATGTTCAGTATGTCCTAGAATCAGGTAGGACATGCACCAGTATGTTCAGTATGTCCTAGAATCAGGTTAGGACATGCACCAGTATGTTCAGTATGTCCTAGAATCAGGTAGGACATGCACCAGTATGTTCAGTATGTCCTAGAATCAGGTAGGACATGCACCAGTATGTTCAGTATGTCCTAGAATCAGGTAGGACATGCACCAGTATGTTCAGTATGTCCTAGAATCAGGTTAGGACATGCACCAGTATGTTCAGTATGTCCTAGAATCAGGTTAGGACATGCACCAGTATGTTCAGTATGTCCTAGAATCAGGTTAGGACATGCACCAGTATGTTCAGTATGTCCTAGAATCAGGTTAGGACATGCACCAGTATGTTCAGTATGTCCTAGAATCAGGTAGGACATGCACCAGTATGTTCAGTATGTCCTAGAATCAGGTAGGACATGCACCAGTATGTTCAGTATGTCCTAGAATCAGACAGGACAAGTGTCTTTGTGCTTAATCTGTCCTAGAATCAGAATGTAATTATGATATTTGAGGAAATGATTTGGAAAGTTCAGACTGACCATCGGGGACTGATTGATCTTCACAAAACTGAGTCTTATATCATGTACCCAATGTTCCACCGGCATAAAAGGATCCATTATTTACTTTCACAATAATGGTATTTGCACATTCCTCTGCATCGTTCTACATACTTTGTTGTTTTATTTTTTGTTTAAGCTTAATCTTGTAATAGAAGCATTACTGAAATAGTGTAAGAAAGTATGGTTGAAAGGGTAGAATATTAGATGTCCCCACATGCCTAGTTCTGAAATCTTTATAAATATAGATCATTCATTCATGAGTTCTGTCTTCCTCTCTTTACGTTTTTCTATCTCTTTCTCGCTGTTTTTAGTCTTTAAAATGAACAACTGATTTGTCAATTTCCCTACCTACCTATCTATATACCGATCTACCTACCTGCCTGCCTACATCCAGCCTACAAACCTTCATATTTACCAGCCTACCTACCTCACTACTGACCCACCCAACTTTTAAGGGTTTCAAGTGCATGTTCTATTTGTTTCTCCTCAGGTCCATTCCTGTTTGCTGATGTACTGGACATGCGAGGGCTGAGAGAAATCTGTGTCAATTATGAGATTGACTGGCTGATTCACTTTAGTGCTTTGCTGAGTGCTGTTGGGGAGAGTAACCTGCCCCTGGCCATGCAAGTGAACATCCAAGGGCTACACAATATTCTGGAAGTGTCCAGAATGCACAAGATGAAACTGTTTGTGCCCAGTACCATAGGTAATAGGTTGAACACTTTCATTATTCTCTTCTTCTTCTTTTGTCATCTCACTTATACCAGGTTGTAGCCTAGTATCATGGTTTTATGAATTTTTCTTGCACTTCTGAGTGTCTTGGGTGATGGATTTGTTCATCGTTGCAGGTTTCAGCTATACCATTTATCCATCTCTTTTTTTGGCTTCCTTTTGCTTTCCTCCTAGATGTTCTGTTGTAAAAAAGTCTTATATGCAGTTTGGTCTGGCTGCATTCTCACTAGATGGCTGAACAATTTCCTTCTTTGTTTGTTGAAATAATCTAGACATGGTCTTATTCTGACTCTCTCTCTAATGCTGGTATTCATAACCCTATCTCTTCTTGTGCTGTTAGTGACCTTGCGGAGACAGACGGCACATTTCACATGGAGTTATTTTCTGTTCTAGTGACTTGTTCATTGTCCATATTTGGCACTGACAACATAAAGTAGGGATAAAAATGCTACTGATCATATGCTTTTTGCTGGAATGGAGACATTTAGGTGTATAAGCGTTGGGGCATTCAATATTTCTTTAATTAATAATCTATGATTATATATTACGTATTAAACACCCTTGGGGAAAAGAAGCAGACTCAGAAAGACCTGGATACAAAATTGGCTGAATAGTCAAGCCTCCGATATGCAAAATTAATTGCATCTGATTGGGAGATGGAGTTAACTGATCAGTCAACAACTCTTCTTCTTCTTCGCTTTCACCTGCTGTAACTCTGGCAGAAAGTTCTGGTTGTTCATCCACTTCTGAACTTTGCTCTTGTTCCAGAACTTGAGGTTTGCATGCACATCCATTCTACAAATTTTGCTTATTTATATGCCAATTGTTGGTTTCTTGCCTCTCTGAATTTGGCTTAATTATATGCTGATTGTTGGTTCCTTGCCTATCCGACTTCGAAAGAAAGTCAACAGGAACTGGTAAGTAAGTGACATGTAATGTTAAAGGACTGTAATAATGATGGTGATGATATTATTTCGTGTTAAGAGTCATTATGATACAAATAGCCTTTTGCAAAATGGAGACCACACTGACTAATTAAAAGCTGTCAACAGCAGTGAGAAACAGAACTGTTTAACTCTTTGAGTCCCAGGGGGTTTAGCATCACAGGCCCAGGGGTAGTAAATAAAGTCATAAAATCGGCGCATCATGCGTTCATTGGGCTTCTAGGTATGAAGCCATGAACGTATGATGCGTTCCTTGGGACTCAAAGAGTTAAGTGTTCTAAGGAATCAGTACTTTTGTATGCCATAAGAAGCAACTAAAGAGATTTTATTGTTACGGGTACAGGGAATGGACACATGTGGCATTTTTCTGAAAACATACCTTTCCTTTACAAAATGACATGGGAACTGCCATTTTATAGCAGCTAGACACTCACATGTTGATCCAAATGTTGTGGGTTCAAATCTGAATGGAAAAAAATATTTTAAAAATGACCTTGGCTCCCAGGTTGACCCAGCCTTGAGTGGGTACCAGGTCAAGTCCTGGTGGTAAAGGCAGCTGGCATGATCTTAACCATATCACCTATCAAGTGCCAATGGGTCTATAAAATATAGGTCTAATACTTAATGCTCAATATACCTGAATGCTTTGAGACTCGTCATTTCCTTTACTCTTTACGAAACAGTAACTGAAGTTTGATTTGAATGATTTCACTTCACATCTTTAAGTGCTGAGTTTCTTCTGTAATAAAAAGAAAAAAAGCTACAAACCATATATAATCACTCCTGATTGTTTGGATTAACTAAATCTTTGGCTGGAGGAAATAATTTCTTGCAAACTTTGGTGACTAATCTCTTTTGATGAGTATATGTGACAGTCATTATTCTTTGCTGCCCCAGTTAACCATGGAAGACATCCAGTCAGTATGATGTATGGGCATGCTGACTCTTTTTAGCTTTGACAAATTGTTGCTTCTGACAATAGTTAACCATTGCATTTTCCTTCATATGTACACTGAAAAGATATAGTTCCCTTTTCAAGCTGCTGAGTTAAATGCATGGCGCAACACTGTGAGCTGCATATTTAATTTGAAATGCCTTTCGACCATGCCCAATGTGGTTGGTGCGGTGAACTGCAGATTCAGAAAATTTAAAGTTCACTGTAGCCAGAGAACTGTTGTCTCATGCGATGAGCTGTGTGTGTGACTACCGATCTGTTGTAACTCCTGCTTCTGTCAATAATAAACTGCACATTTATTGCTGGACTCTTTGTTATGGCACTTCTACTGCCTTCATTTAATTTGTGTATATGCTATGGCGTCTCTGGCTTAGGCATTGCGTACGTGTTTTGTAATGCCGTGTTTCCAGGTTCGATCCCTGCTGCGGACGGTTTGTCTTGCACTGGTTTCAACAGTGGTATCGAGAGCTGGCTGTTCAGTAACAATGCTAAACTACTGAATGTGAAATTTGTCTAGAAAAACTACAACAGAAAACAAATGCTGGGGTTAGTTCTTCAACGTCCTGTAAAGGATACACAACTAACTTTTAACTATATGCAATTGGCTTTGTGGAGACTTCAGTCATTTTTGGTTGTTGAAATGACAGTGATAGTATTCTGTGTAGTTTCTATTGGCACAGGAAGGGATAAACTATGGGATGACCTGTTTGCTGGTGAGGGAGTGATTTAGCAGATGGAACTGCTATTGTCAAATTACCTAATGTTACAGTAAACGTTTGGCATAGTGCTTGATTTTAGAAATACTTCAATGAAACTTTTAAATATTAGGAAAAATTATAGATTTTAAAGTCAATTTACTAGTATCTCATCCCAAGGTCATTTATTTATTTTAAAAAAAATTCTTGTCATTTTTACCAAGGTGCCTTTGGTCCAGACTCTCCTCGCAATCCAACCCCTGACCTTACAATTCAGAGGCCAAGGACAATTTATGGTGTCAGCAAAGTTCATGCTGAACTTATGGGAGAAGTAAGTGTTGACCACAAAAACTGACTTGTTTATTTTTCTCATAAGCCAGTTTTCTGCATCTAAACGGAACACCATCATGAAGCTGGATAGATTGCATTGTTTCATCTAGTTTGTGGCTGAGTGTATCCAATTTTGATAAGTATTTTTGTGTGTATGAGTTACTTTCCCTAACCCTTGTCTGTCCCCAGTGAGCCTACATGGCACCAGACAGTGCCTGTCTTTATCTGTTTAAGGGAAAACTGAGATGGAAATACAGTCAAACAGTTACTGGTGCCATCAGAATTGGAACTCTTCGCTTGCTGCTGAAGATAAGGATGGAGCACTTATGGGAGTGTCTAGAGTGCTATGATGTCAATTCTTAATTCAGCATTCAGTGACTTATCCAGGATATGAAGACCCTACCAGTAGTTATGCTACAATAAGCATTGCTGATGGTTTCAGTAAACATTCAAGTTCCTCTACTTACTACTTAAAAAGTCTAGACATTAAACACAAGAAATAAACCCACTGCATACCTTCTTCTTCTTTTTCTTCATTGTCTTCTTCTTCTTCTTCTTCTTCTTCTTCTTCTTCTTCTTCTTCTTCTTCTTCTTCTTCTTCTTCTTCTTCTTCTTCTTCTTCTTTTTCTTCTTCTTCTTCTTCTTCTTCTTCTTCTTCTTCTTCTTCTTCTTCTTCTTCTTCTTCTTCTTCTTCTTCTTCTTCTTCTTCTTCTTCTTCTTCTTCTTCTTCTTCTTTTTCTTAGCGTTCACTAGATGTTAAACTCAGGTGGAAAGTCCTAGTTGTTTATCAACTTCTAGACTTTGTTTCTTCTGGAACTTGAGTTTTGTGTGCACATCTGTTTAACAGACCTGGCTTATTTAAATTGGAGACTGTTGGTCTCTCACTTTTCAGGCAGATGGACTCAGACTTTAAAGGAAACATCTCTAATTAGTCATCTTGTATGACTTGATTTGGGGGGGGGGGGGGGGGGGTCATCTATTAAGGGGTTAGTTGAAATAAGATGTGGTGAGAAAGCATGATGAAAATGTGTACTTTTATACTGTTTTACAATAATAATATAATATATATATAATAATAATATATTGTTAAACTAATAATATTCTGATGACGTAAATAGGGGGTAACTGCAGTCGAGCTGATGACAAGAAGTGCTAACTACAATATAAAATGTGACCAGAAAGCTCGACAGAGTGAAAGGAAAAGATGGGCTTGAATGCAGCCAAATATTTCGGCCAGCTTAATTTCTTTTACCAAAAAAAAACTTTGGTGGAATCATTTGGTTGTATGTGTGCTCACCTTTTCTATTCCCTTTATCGAGCTTTATAGTTGCATTTTATATTGTATTTAACACAGTGAATTCGAACCTGTAGAGAATCAAAAAATTTTGAAATTGAGTATGTTTGTACTTGTAATAATCAGGATTTTCAGCTTTAACAGTCATGAAAACAAAACAGCGTTGCTAGCTTGGTGAGGAGAGTGGTCTCCATTGTGCCTTGTCTATCAGACTAAATAGCAGACATCATTGAGATAAAACAGTGTCAATAGACGCACTGATATCTATCTGGCTTACCAATTCTTTTGTTATTTGACACTTTAAATAATGTGCATGTTTTCTCCAAGTAATTGTTAACAGTACTGGAGATTTTTCTTTTCGTCCTCCAATTCCAATTGATAAACAAAAATTCCAAACTTGATCCTTTTTCAGCCGCCTGGAGGCCTGCTATATGAAGGAAGGTTCCTTGACTATCTTTTTTGGTGTCCTAAACTTTGTGCTGTGAAGTCACACCTGATATTCTAGTTCTTTGTCTTCCTAAGTCCGGTGTGGTATTTAGGGTTCTGGGTCCCGGTCTGGTCCAACTTCTTATCCTCCACTTTTTAATCCGATTTTATTATGTTTGGGAGGGAAAGTGGAGAGTGATTTAGCACATCTAATAATGTTGTGAGCACTTACTGAAGCCGTCACATTTGTACACTTTACAGTGCTGCCACCTTCGGCTAATGATGAAATGAAATCTTAAGAGAAAGTATGACAATGTACTAAAATTACCAACATTGTCCTGTCTCTACAGTACTATCACCACAAGTTTGGTCTAGATTTCCGATGCCTGAGATACCCAGGTGTAATTTCAACAGACCAGCCAGGAGGAGGTACAACAGGTGAGATAGACTATGAGTGACTTTTTCTGTCATTTGGGAAATTCGCATACAAGACTATTCCCAGCAGGGAGTGAACATAAGGTCTGAATGTCCCTCATCAAGACAGACTAGCAAAGACATCACAACATCTAGCATGAGAATGGAGGTGGAGGCGGTAACTGCAGCACTCCGGTGGCTAGAGAACTATATGCACATACATGTAATAGTTGTAACAGACTCTGAAAGCGTGCTGAGAAAGGTGAAGACAGGGATGCTTCGAGCAGGGTGGCATGCTTCACTAGGAAGGTCACGGGTAGTGAGCATACTTTTGATCTTTTTTCCAGGCAATACCGGAGGGTCTAGCCGGCTCACTACACTCAGAGGAAAGGCAAGAGGAACATATAACCAGACTGTGACCAGTACCATCAGTATTGGAACTCTGCGCTGGCTGCTGAAGATGAGGATGGAGCACACATGGGAATGCCCCGAGTGCTGTGATATCAATTCTTGACTCAACTCAACTCAATTCATTAAACAGAGGAAAAGATAGAGATTTTAAATCAGTTTGTCTCTGTCACCATCAGCCCACAAGCAGAATGGAAACTCTTTGTTGGCTCCTGAAGAAAAAGGGGTGGGGCATTAGTGAGAATGTCTTAAATGCTGTAATACTGATTGATTCATTCATTCATTTAGGCTTCTTGTGTTTTCTTTTGATATCATTGTTTTCTGTTGGCAGATGGTAGATCTGCCAAAAAATATATTTAATTTGCAGTATTTGATAAATTCTCTTACTTTCTTTTAGAATTAATATCGGCACATTTTATATTTTCCATTGTAGTTTAATATTTCATTAGTTTTATTGAATTAATGCTTTGGGAAGCCACATACACTCTTCTGCAACTCATTTCAACCCATAAAATTGATTACTCACAGTTGCTTCTGATCAGCTATGAAAAGTCCTGGGGAAATTGACTGAGGACCTGTAGTTCATCGCACAGCGATAAACAGCAGAAGAGAATGAAGGGGGAAAAATGGGGAGCTACAAATCTGTGGGGAAAAAAAAGCAACTATTGAAATACTGACAATACGTGTCATGGAGTGATGAAAGAATTTGAAGCTAAAACCATACTATCATTTTGCCTTTTTGCATGCAAATGAACTTGTATACAGACTTTAAAACTGTCTTGATTGTGTTCAGACTATGCCTTGAAGATGTTCCATGATGCTCTCACCACCAAAGTCCACCACTGTTACCTGAAACCAGAAACCAGGCTACCCATGATGTACATAGATGACCTGCTCACAGCTACAGCAGATTTTCTACAGGTTAGCAACCATGTGAAATCCACTGTAGACAGATTAAAATTATAAGTGTGATGTTAGTGTGTGTGTGCATGCATATACCTGCTTAATTGACTGCTTCTCTCTTTGTACTTTATCATTATCATCATCATCATCATCATCATCATCATCATGATCATCCTGTATGCATAGAGCTCACAGTCTAGTCCTACATTCCATCCTATTCTGAGCAATCATTTCAGTTACACAGATGAAATTCAGTCCACCACCTTTGGCCTCTTTCAAAACTGTTCATCTTTACTTACCTGTTTATTTTTATCTGTATCCATCTGTCCCATTTTTTTTTCTCTGTGTCAGCCTGAAAGCTGCCTGTCTTCATAACACACCCACACACCTCCAAACCTGCTGAGTTATGAAGCTACAGACCTACCTACCTTGCATACCTATCCACATACTTACCCGCCTGCTTTGCTATCTACTAAACTATCAGCTATCTATTTACTGACCTATTTACCCTTAGTGGTATCAGTCAACCAACTTTCCCTTCTTCTATCCATGGTCTACATATTTGAATCTCAGCACAGAATGAAATATCCAACATTTGTGTGCCAGTTAAATGTAGTCTCACTCCCAGCTATACATCTGTATTATGTAAACAGCTGAGCTAAAATGTGCATTTATAAAAACTTATCTGCAAACCACATGCAATGTGTGAACCATTATATTAAATGTTAACAAAGAAGAAGAAGGAGGATTAGAATGAGGAGGAGAAGGAGGAGGAGAAGGAGGAGGAGAAGGAGGATGAGGAGGAGGAAGATAATGACAAGGAGGAGGAAAGAGGAGAGGAAGAAGAATGAGGGAAGAGTAGTTAGTATGTATGGTTGGTGTTGATGTCATTATTGTTCAGTAATACAACCTGTGAAACCTCTGATGTTCCACAGATGCCAGACAACCAACTGTCCATGAGAACATACAACATTGGTGCTGTTGACTTTACACCAGAGGAACTAGCCATGGAACTAAGGAAGTTTGTTCCTGACCTGGAAGTGGTCTACAATCCAGATAGCAGGCAAGCCATTGGTAAGTATCTTATCATCGTATAGCTGATTCCGGTTATCTATTTATTATTGTCTGTTTGGCTTTGTGTGGTTCAGAACCTTGTAGAATTGCTACCATGATCTGGACTTAATAGAGGCACAGGATTTAACCTTGTTTTGGGAGAAAACATTACAGGATTTCATAAAGTGATGAAAACATTCCTAAATTTTATAGTTATTTACGTGACCACCCTGTGTGGGGACTTTTGGCCAGAGTACATTGCCCCTTGTTGCTGTTGTTGTGTTTATGTCAAGAAAGGCTTCAGCCAAAACATCAGATTTCTCTTGTGTGCACATTTTGTTCCTCTTCCACCCTCACATCCTGATCACACTAAGTTCTTTGCTGACTCATGATTCTTCACAACTTGTGATCTTCCTATAACTTGTTATGCATCACTTCACTATCCAGTGGTGCAAAACCAGCTAGTCTGTCTGCTTGTTCATTTTCCAGCACATCCTCATGCAAGTAGATTGACCCCTAGGGTCTTAAAAGTCACTGTTCATGAAAGATATGTGTATAATCTTACAACCGCCTTCTTCAAAAGGGTAATTTGCATGTTGCATTGTGGTTTATAGCTAGGCTACCATATCTGAAGCTTTCAGTCCAACACATCCAATTTCAGCAAATCGGTAATATTTTGCCTTTTATGACATGCTTCTTAGGAGGGCAGCGGGTCTGTTCATTTTCCTCCCAAAACAGAGTCCCAGAATCCACATGCAGAGACAAAAGTAATATAAAATACAAACAGGAACTCGTATTACTTGGGGACTGATGGGAACCACGAGATGTGCTAATACAACCAGTGTAACTGTATTCTTCAGTTTAAAAAAAAAATTTAATGTACAGCTTTTCCCAAACTCTAAAAAGAGAGGGTCATTAATTTGTGGCCACATTATGAGACAGGAAAAAGTGGAAAAAGTGACATCAGGATGTAGAAAGGGAGACAGAAGAAGATACTGAGAGAAGAATCTTGACAGCAGTTTGTTACGGCATGGAGGGATGACGGCCAGTGTAACTGCATTCTTCAGTTTAAAAAAAAAAATTTAATGTACAGCTTTTCCCAAACTTTAAAAAGAGAGGGTAATTAATTTGTGGCCACATTATGAGACAGGAAAAAGTGACATCAGGATGTAGAAAGGGAGACAGAAGAAGATACTGATAGAAGAATCTTGACAGCAGTTTGTTACGGCATGGAGGGATGACGGCACATAAATTGATACATTCTTTCATTTTTTCAGAGATAATTTTCATGTTGTGCATTTTAGCTGCCTGCGGAGATGCCACACTGTTTCTTAAAGTAGAATTATGAACACCTGTTTAAATCATTATTAATTTTGTTTCTTCTGTCATTTTTCAAAACTGTTTAATTTCTGTTTTTCAGCCGACTCATGGCCCCAGAGATTTGACTTTGGCAATGCTATAAGGGACTGGGGTTATCACCCCTTGTACAACATGTCAGCCATTTGTGAGATCATGGTTCAGTCTCTGTTGCCGAGGTACAAGAATAGAGGCAGCCTTATCGAAGTCAAGGAGTGACATGTTTTATACAGACACAACAAATAACCAATTAATGAGAGAGAGAGAGAGAGAGAGAGATAGAAAGAGAGAGAGAGAGAGAGAGAGAGAGAGAGAGAGAGAGAGAGAGAGAGAGAGAGAGAGAGAGAGAGAGAGAGAGAGAGAGAGAAAGAGAGAGAGAGAGATCTAAATACAACAAATGAACATTGATAAACTTGCTCAGTGTAGTTCTTTAACAAAGTTGAGGGCAGACTTGTTTATTAATTTTCCTATAAAGTGTTAGATATGTCCTTGCTGTTTTGTAAATACCAAATTGATATTAAACAAATCAGCCTATTTCTTCAAGAAAATAAGTGCATGCTCCTTCGTTCTTTTCATTTTGATGTAAAAGGGTGGGATCTATCCTTCCCATTTGGGTTCCAGGGTCTCATTGTGAGCGGAGGGGAATGGGGGAGATAGACCCACTGCCATCCTGATATTAAGCCATGATGATATTAAACATGTTAATTTAAAAAAAAAAACAATAAACATTTGGCTATCCTCCAACAAACTGTCGGCAAAGATGGCGGCAGCAAAATATCAAGACGAGCCGCGGTCACGGGTCATTGCGCGCTTTGTTCACAAAAGGCAGCATCATGCTCACACCGTGCCTGGAGACCACACAGCTTGTAGAGAAAAAAAACTGTCAAATATTCGAGCAGTTCTGTCAGTTATAATCAAGGCTAAGCAAACAGGTGGAATGAGATGAAAACTCTTGGTTTCTTTTTGAATAATGGACTGGACTGGCTACGTATCATAAATGCTTGGAAATAGGAGCCCGAAAGGACTGCAAATCAGTAATTATCAAATGGGGCTGCATGGTCTCGAGGCATGGTCGCCTTGAGTGCTAGAAGTTCCGGGATCAATCCCTGGTAAGTGCTGGAATTTGTTCACGTGAACTTGGACTTCTAGTAATTCCCTCTGGTCTCTGGGTAGTGAGATCGGACTCCCGTGTACAATGTAGCACACGTTAAAAAACAAATCCCTTGGCAGTTGGAAATTGAAAAGAGTAGCCTAACGGCACTGCCTGGACAAAATTTGGAGTTTAAAATCTACCCAAAGTATTTTAGGATCCTCGCCAGTGCTACAGAGCCTGTGCACTGTGCTGAGCTTCTTCGGACTCAGACTTGAGTTAGAAGAAAAACAGAGCACTTATGGGTTTCTACCTATGTGCCATGATGTTGATCCATTGTTCAAACCTCAAACCTTTATGATCAAAGACAACACAAATAAAACAGAGTATCTAATAAGCTTCCATACACAGGACAAATACCATTGTTTCAGAAATAGGTTTCAATATGTGGCCTCCACAGCTGAAAAACATGTATAAGCACAGCTGGAATTATGCTTGTACCCGAGTTGGTGATGTGTTTTTTCTCTGTGTATGGAAACTTATGGAACACTCTGTAGACTGCACAGTTTACTCCCTGGCATATTTTGCTTTTGTCTTGATGTTGTAGTATCATATGCTAGACTCTCCACACATCCTGACTGTAACTGACTCAGAAAGCATGCTGAGGAAGATGAGGACAGGCATGCTTCGGGCAGGGTGGCGCTTGCTTTGCTTTGTAGGTCACGAATGACTAGCATTATCTGGATCCTTTCTCCAGTTCATGCTGGCGTATTTGGAAATGAACAGATAGACAGACTGGCTGGCTCTGCACAACTTGGTGGAGTACTGATGCATGATAAGGCAGATGTGGTTAGGGCCTTGTGGGAGAATGTGTACACTTCGGAGGATCAAATGGATCACTACAATCTGCAGAGAGTGATACAGCTGGCAGTGAAGATGATGTATAATTAGAATGCTACTGGCACCACTGGTATTGGAACTCTACACTAGCTGCTGAAGATGGGGATGAGGCGCTTATGGGAATACCCCCACATGCTGTGATGTCGGTTCTTGAATCGACTTATTTTGAATCAAATCGCTGTTATCTTGTCAGGTACATGCCAGAGTAAAGGTTGAAAACAATAAAACTGTTAAATCAATCCTTAACACTAAATTACAAAATCAGCCACACTCTTTCACCTGGCAAGATACAATGGAATATGCCAGACAATACATTGTGCAGTCTATGGTTTGTGTCTTTTTTGTTTAAATAAACAATAGGGATGCATTAAAATTTATCTATTTTTTTCTTAACTTTAATGCACAGGCAAGAAGTATGTTTGCTGGTTATGTCACTTAAAATAATTCATTTGTAACTTCTTTAAAGTAAAACTGATGTTTTAGGCTAAAATGTAACGGCTTGTTTTATAATAACTGTCAAAACCTGTTTTTATTGAAAGAGCTAAATTCATTGTTTTAATTAAATGTGATTTTACTATAGGTAAGGTGCTGTTTTTCTCACAAACAATTTGACCATTTCACTAGATATCGACAACACAATTTAAGTTACATTAAAAAAAAATATCGTGACCACTAAATACTTATTGAAATTTGGAGGTTACCTAAGCACATTGGCTAGCTAGCTGAAATTAAATTCTAGGAAATTTCCTGGGAAATCAAGGAGAATTGTGTTATATTGGCCACGCCCGTTAAGTGCCAACTTGTTTAAAACTATGAGGCTAGCACAATTTATCTAATATGGCTGTTGGTGTGAAAAGAGGTTTTTGACCTTTTCTTGACCTCTTATCTCAAATTGAAGACTAAGAAACACATTCTATTTAGCAAATAGTAAATAGTTTGTTTCAGTTTTTACTTACAGTCAATATTTTGTCAGATTCCAATGCCACCATCAGGAATCACATTCTAGACCAGTAGTTCTCACACTTGTTCAGGCTGTTGCTTTCTAGGCTATACTGCTGCATTAACATTCACAAGTTTTTTTTTTTTTGTTTTTTTTTTTAGCTAAAAAGTGCTGTTATTCATGCCACAATGTATAAAAGATGTTCTTATACTCATGAGACAGGGTCTTTTAAAGTAGCATGAAAAAATTATGCCCAAAAAACAGGTGCTATTACTGCATGCCATTGTGTACCAGCAGAAGAAAAAACCTGTTTCTTTGAGTTTTACTTAGACATTTTGTCAGATTCCAATGCTACCACAGGAATCACATTCTAGAACAGTGATTCTCAACATCATTCAGACGGTTGCTTCCTTGCTTTTTAGGCTGCATTGCTGCATGAGCTCATTTAAGAATTTCACATTGCTGTCTTTGAGTCGATATTTATGAAAAGAATGATAGAGGAAGACTGTTGGAGATTGCCAGACATGATATGGAGAAGCATGATTGGCTATGACAGTTGGCCTAGCACTTGTTAGTAAAGCCATCAGTACAAATTTATTAGTGGTTGGTCTCAATGGTTTGCAAGCCTCCAATATATTCATTCAAATTTGATGGAAGTTTACAAGCCTGCAATATGTTCATTCAAATTTGATGGCAGTTTACAAGCCTGCAATATGTTCATTCAAATTTGATGGCAAGTTTACAAGCCTGCAATATGTTCATTCAAATTTGATGGCAACTAATAATATTCTTCACTACTTATGCTACAGAACTGTATGTGTCCACATGAAGGCTTTCTTTCATTCCAGTTTACAGAATAAGTCTAATGATATTTTTGTCTGGAATAAAATATTCAATAATTTTGTGAACCACCATTTGCCTAAATAAATTACAGATTCTGTTTTCTCTACTGGTCATAGATTTTTTTTTTCGACATATGATATATGTTCATCTATTGTCTGACATATTTCTACAGGTTATTCCAAGAAATATTAATTTAATTTAGTGTATCTTTATACTACATACAATTAATAATTATGTAAAACATTGTGTTTATACTGTGAATATTTTAGCTTGGTAATTGTTTTCATGTTTGCTTTCCCTCAGATATTGCCCATTCCCCCACTCCCATAGTAATATTTTACATGATTTAATTGTATACATGATTCCTTGGTGGAGGCCAGTGTGATAAAGGTAATCTTTTTCTTTTGTCATCTCCCTGATAACAGGTGGTAACCCAGTATGGTAGTTTTCTGTCCTATAATTCATTCTTCCTTTTGTAGTAGCAGCTGATTACACAACTGCCAGCTTGCTAGGCCTGTCATGTGGGCGAGCCAAGAAAAAAAGCAGTGACCTGGTGGGTGTCCGTACTGGTGATGAAGATACGGTCAACAAATTGGTGGATTATGATGACAAGTTACATACTTTGAACAAATGACATTCCTTCGCCATGTGTGCTTTAGAACTGTATGTGTCTACAAGTAGGCTTTCCTTCAATACATTTGTGAAATATTTACCAATATAATTTTGTGTGAATATCATTTGCTGATATAAATTCTACAATTTCTGTTTTCGCTACCAGTGCTAGATTTTGTGGACACATTAAATATGTTTGCTTGTTGACTAACATATTTTTACAGGTTTTATGTATCTTTATGTATAAAACAGTGTATAATTATACTGTGAATATTTTGGTGTGGTAATTATTTTCATTTTGTTTACTTTTTTCCTGATAAAATTTGCCTTTACTGATAATTTACATGTTTATGAGACAAAATTATGAAACATAAATGATTCAAATGTACAGATCAGTATGGCCATGACAAAGGTAATGACATCAAGAAATTGAAAGTCAGGGAATGTTGAAATGGTGTGTGATTTCAGCTGAATGAGCAAGTTATATATGTTTAATTTTTTTTTTTAATGCACCTGCAGATGACACACTGAATTTCCATGTAAAGGAGTGAACATTTTGTTCATTTTATTGTGACTGAATACAGTTTTTCTTTATATATATACAAAATGAATCAGTCGCTGAACTTTTGTAATCAACAAATTTCACATATAGGAAGATGGTTTAAATAATTAGGAAAATAATTTTCATCTTTGTGATGGGAAGAGAGACATTTAAAGAGATTTACAGTTTCCAAAAAATATACCAGAGGGGACATTACATAATTATTTACACTTGGTCAGTTTTCTACAGGCCTATTTTGTTATTAGAAACAAAAGAAAAAAAACATATTTTCG